GTGAATCAGAGAGGGAGGGGGAGTGAGGTCTACAATATATGCATGCCGTTGCGTCGCTGTCGTCGTCGTCGTCGTCGTCGCAGTTCTAAAAATATTTCAGGTCGCTCGGTCGTTTGGTCGGTCGCAATGGCCGCCTGTTCGCTTTTTGGTCTCGTTTGGGTTAAGTGTGCGGCGCATCTGTATCTGTATCTGTATCTGTATCTGTATCAGATGTATCTGTATCTGTAGCTATATCTTGGCGACTGCTGGCCTATGGGCCAACACATGCAATACATACCTATACGCACACACAAATATATGCCTGTTTGTATTGGTATTTATTATGTTTTTATTTTGATTTCTAAAGGTTGTTTGGGTCGTTGTGATATCAAATGATATTGATTTACATTGAATTACTTATACATATATGTATGTGTAGGTATATATGTTTATAGCTTGTATATCTACTTATTTATTGGTATATTTTTCATTAGAACAAACGCGTTGCCATTGCAATTAATATGCATATGTTTTTTGCCGCATTTTGCCCACTGTTCGAGCGAACAACAACTGGGCAAATACGAAAAGTGCAATGGAACAACAACAACAACAACAGCAGCAACAACAACAATTGACAGACGAGGCCAAAGTATCAAATGGACAAGCGATACAGTCACAGCTACGCACACACAGCCAGACACACACACACTCTCACAGACAGGCAGACAGACACACGCACACAGGCCGACATTGTACTGCATTTGCATTGAGTGCAGCTCGATGATGAACTATGAACCCGCTGACCTTCATTGAACCCTTTTTACTCAGCTGCGCACACACGACAGCAACCAGCGCTGCAGTTGACAAAAGAGAGAGAGAGAGAGAGGGGAAGAGTTAACTGATAAAGCCACAGTAGAAAGAGAGAGCGCCTAGTCAAAGAGTGTTCAGTCAACTGATAAAGCTTAAGGCGCACGCACACAGCAAAGCAAAAGAGAGCCGCAGACACCTTAAGAGAGCTGAAGCCAAAGAGCGTAGCATTCGTCTTCAACTGATAAAGTTTTGCTATGCCGGGCAGCGCGCTCTCAGCTCTACTCGCTTGTGTATGTGTGTGTGTGTGTGTGTGTGTGCACGTGCTGAGCGGCTACTCCGATTGGGAGCCGCTGCCGCGGTGCTTCTCAGTACGTTTCCGTTTGCGCTGCGAGTCGTGCGAATTGCGCTCGCGCAAATTCAAAAAAAAAAAAAAAAAAAAAGCGATCGTAGCTTTTTTTTCGGCGCGTAACAAACACAATAAGAAGTAGAACCCTCAACTCAAGTGCTGATAAAACGAAAAGAAAAAACACGCACCTGCGTGCAACGTGCGCCAAACGGTTTAAAAGCTCAAAGGATTAAGCTGTACCCAAGCACAGCTGCAGACCAAAGCAAAACAAGAGCAAAGGCTAACGGTTCATGCAACAAGCTCACGTGACATGAGAAGAAAAAACATAAATAAATAGAAAAGGAAAAAGCAAAACAGGAAAAGATTCAAATGCGTAGCTGGCACGTGACCAGTTGCAGTGCAAGCCAAACAAAGTATCTGAGAGATACAAATGAAATGGGTATCTCTTAGGTAAAAAGATACAATATCTGACACATGTATCTTTCAAACATAATTACATAAATGAGGCCCTCAGCTAGCAGTAAGTTAACTATAAACTGTAGTCACAATTGCAAGTCAACAAGTATCTAAGAGATACAGAATATAAAGTTCCAGATTCGAGATGTATCCTAAGGATGAAAATGTATCTAAAATAAACAATCTCCAAATATATCTTTAACAAACAATATCTAAAAGATAATTACTTATAATTAGTCAACAAAATCAAGTGAAGCAGATACAGTATTTGAAATGTATCAATATTTCGAATGTATCTTTAAGATACAATATGTTAAACAACGCAATTAGCTGCGCAAAGTGCAAATGTGAAATGCAAATCAGAGTCGAAAAGTGAATGCCAATTGGAATGCCCATAAGAATCAAAGCATATATCGTGTCTTTAAAGGTCAAAGCGTCAAAAAATGATTTGAAAAGAATCAAAAAATAAAGGAAGAGAGAGATAGATATATTTATATAAGAGCGAATGCAACGCGTGTGCTGTTCATTAAACAAAAAGCGATTTTATATTTAAAAATACATATATTCAGTGCAGCGCGGAAATTCGAATGCAACTAAAAAGCAAAACAGTTAACGGTTTACAAACTAAAAATAAGCAACAACAGCAGAAAGGTGTAAAAAGGTGCAAAAGTGTTTTTTTGTTTTTATAATAATAATTTTAATAAGCCTCCGACAACAGGTTCAATTTTCAACGCACATTAAAAATAAATAATTATATGTTATAATAAAAAATGTTATACATGTATATCTGAGAATATATATATCTGAATTTATATGTATATACGATTTTTGCATTTGCAAAAAAAGTAAAAACAATTAAGTCAAACGCGGCGTTTGTTTTTGCTTCGTGTGCGCTCGTTTTCCTCTCTCTCTGCTGATGTTATATTTCTTATTTTTTGTTTTTTGTCAATCCGTTTGACAAATTGACAGCAGTTGTGGCAAAGCGAACAACAACAACAACAACAGCAAACATTCAGCAAAAATTTCAATAAATCTAAATCAAATAAAAACGGGAAAAAAGGTAATGAAAAAAGCTGTTTAAATATTTGCGACCTTAAACTTCATAGATCAATTTTATTGCTCAAGCAACAAAAAAAAGTGTATTTGTTTTTTTCTTCTTGATTATTTTATGACTTGAAGACTCTTGAGATTTTGATCTATGCGCTATTGAAACAGCTGACAAAGAGCGTAGAATATACCTCACAGCCTATAAGTAATGCTCGTATTTCGGAAGCAACGCATCTAATGGGAAACATGTATCTCATTGGATTTGTGATGGATTGTAACCTATTCATTGTTTATAGAATTGGCATGCGAATCCAATCCAAAAGCATACGAATACGAAAATGCAAATATCTAAGTGGACGCAAATATAAACTGCTTTATAGGCAGTATAAATGGCTTGCATATTCGGTAACATTTGTAAAGTTTCCATAGAATTAGATTAAAAAGAAAAAAACGAAAAAAGTCGTAAAACATAACATCACATAATCTGCATATGATTTGTTGACTTAATTAGATTGTTATACGAGTTAGGCTTCATTATTAGACTGAAAAAGAAGGAAAATTATAAAGTGAATGAATGTGTATCCCTCTTGCTCTCGATCTTGTCTCTCTTTCGCTCATTATACCCTGAACCCATTGAAAATGGGAAATCAGGGTATAATGGTTTTGTTGAAATGTATGTAACAGGCAGAAGGAGGCGTGGCAGACCCCACAAAGTATATATATTCTTGATCAGGGCGACGAGCTGAGTCGATTTGGCCCTGTCCGTCTGTCTGTCTGTCCGTCTGTCCGTCTGTCCGTCTGTCCGTCCGTCCGTCTGTCCGTCTGTCCGTCTGTCCGTNTCACATCAGCAGTTAGTTTCGTTTAGTTTTGGTAGATGGCGCTGCAGCAGTGAATCTATTTGAGTTTTGCCAGCGCCACTAGCAGGAGTGAGGTGGCCTAGTGTGTTAGCAGCATGACGCTCGATCGAGGAGTCGCGGTTCGAATCCCGATCGATGCAACTGATGTTAATTTTTTTTAATTGTTTCAAAATATTTTTATATTTTATTAAATGAGTTTGGTATTTTATTTATATTTTTAAATACATCGAAATTGAAATTTCAGCCATACTAAATGAGCATTTTTATTTGTTGGGTTCAGGGTAGTATCTAGTCGAGCACTCTCGACTAGAATTTTCTTACTTGTTATTTGTTGGGTTCAGGGTAGTATCTAGTCGAGCACTCTCGACTAGAATTTTCTTACTTGTTTTATGATTATATATTTATAGTCCTCTGCAATTATTTATATAAGTTTTGTAGCTTCGGCTTAAACCGGTTGAGAATTATTACACTAGACAAATTTCTCAAATCGCTTCTTCTTTTGTTAATTTTTTTGTCATGCATAGCAAATATCTGTGTTAAATGAAATTTGACGCATTTAGATAGAAGCTTTTAATTTGCAAGCAAAGAACATACAAACATTGAGTAAAAGAGAAAGACACTGCGACTATAGGCATACCCTGTAAACGAAACGAAATAAAAAACTTTAAAAAATATAAAGCATTCAATTATCAAAAATAAGAGAAAGAATCTCAAATTGATAAAGGAAAGAACACAACTTAATTCACATAAAACCCTCTAAATATAAGATTATATGTATTATATATATGTATTATATTAACCTTATATACTACATATGAATTCAGTTCTTTACTGGATTCAGGCCTATGAAATGCATAGTATGGAAGCTCTATTAGCTCTCGAGTTCTAAAAGGTCTGATCGCTATACATATGTGCAATATTAATACTCGTATTGAATTGCCTTTTAAATACTGTATGTCAGTCGCTTTATTAGTTTCATGAACCCAGCTGTATGTAAATATTTATGGAATGTTTCATTTAACACTAACTCTTTGGTCATATAAATAATTAACTCAATGACACATTAACTACCCTTCCCTATGCCCCGCACCATTCCTCTTCGAATAGTACAGGGTATTTAGCTAATAAAAAAAAAAAAAAAAAACAGTTGTGCATTTGACAACAGGTGAATTAATTAAAGAAACACCTAGCTAAGACTCCGGCTGCTTAGCTCGAGTCATATTTAAAAGCCAAGCCAAAAACATAGAGACATTAACGCAAGACAACTTAAGATTAAAGACAAACATCAGCAACAACAAAGGCAAACAACCTGTTGCCTCGAACATAATTGAAAAATTGGCCAAGCAAAAAAAGAAGGAAAAACTTATAACTAAATAAAAAGAAATGAAAACTTGTTAAAGTTAAGCTCAATAACTGTAGTCCGACTATTGCTAGCTCTGTCACACGCTTTTTCTATAGCCTTTTCAATGCTTTTTCTCTTTCATTTCATTCCATTTCCGGAACAGGAGGAAATCAAATCGAATCGACGCGAATCGTATTGACGCGGTGTGGTTTTTGACAATATGTTGAGCCCACCATAATGAAGGAAATTGATAGCGAGACAACTGTAGTATGGCCAGCCTGGTGTTATTCCGGTAAGTGTAAGACACGCCCCTTTACACCTGTACTCCCACCGCCCCTTGCCACACACCGCTTGCGAGTCAAAGCTGTCTAAGCAGCGTTTATCGCATTTGTTTAACTGCTTCCATGGACAACAACAACAAATGCGTCAAACCGAGACAGAGACCAGACCCCCGGAGCCACGGAGCCGCAGAGCCCCAGACCCCAATTGAAAACAAAAACAAAACAAAAAGTCACAAAGACTTGAGCTCTTAATACCCTGCAGATTGAATATTGGAAAAGAATACATAGTATCGAAACCTATCTGTATTTAAAGTAAGGATAGTTCTACTTTGCTATCTATATGTGTATTAACTGATTCGACTAGAGGCTCTACGTCATAAGGCACTGTACTATATTAACGAAGAGTTGTTAAGATATTTGAAAAGATTTTCCATTGAGTTTCACTTATTTATATGGCAATCAGATGATTTATATAAAGCCGATCTCTACGATTCTCACATATGTTTATTGTGCAGTCAGAAGCTTTCGCTGTACCAAGTTTCATCAATCAAACATCAACGTAAACTGAGTTCGAATAGGTTAGTCAGGCTGCAGGAGATATGTAAACAGGTATCACTGCACCTCAAGCTTTCGACTCTATTGCAATTGTGCATAGAGGTTGTTGCATCACTATATTGCCTAGTTAAACTACCCTTTCATTCTTATTTTACAGAGTATCAAGCATAAAACTAGGTGTTGAAAGTTCAACTATCGTTTTACGCTTTTGTTTTTCCTATTGTTTTCTGGTTTTGTTGTCTTTTCTTTTTGTTGTGTTGTCTGTTCGTTCCTTTGTTGTTGTATTTACTTCTCAGTTGGTTTATGTTTGTTTGTCCGACTGTGTGATTGTGTGTGTGTGTGTTGCTTTGTCGGTGTCACCTCACCTGCCTGCCACTGTTTTGGTGAACCTTTTGACGAACTTTGAGCAGCCTTTTGTCTCCCGTATCAATATATTGATAGATTGGCTCCAGCTGTACCGCTTTGCCAACTGCAGCATTTTGTTAATTATGATAATTATTAAAAAAAAAAATGTTTAAAAAATCATGACGTTGGTGATGTCATGGAAGCTCACCTTTGACTTTTTGATCTGAGTAACAAATAAACGAGAATTTAACTCAACTCATTGATGCACATCCAACTGAAAAAGTAAAAGGCGAAAAAAACAAAAACAACAGCAACAAAGAATATACATATTTTATTCAAATTTCAAATTTTGTATTTATGTGCAGCAAATGAAGCTGCGAAGCGCGTGTCAAGCGACACAGAAGCTTGCACACAGACAGCGCAAAGCTTTTACACAGACAGCTGAAGCTTTTGCAGCTTGCCTTGTGCAAAGGCAGAGCTTTAAGAAGCTCACCAATACATGTGCAGGCGTGCAGCTTCCTTTGGAGCCACGCCTTGACTGAAATTAAGCATTCAGCATGCAAATTCATATTGAAACAAAGCACCTAGAGAGAAGGAGAGGGTGGGATGGGTAGAGAGGGAGACTGAGAAGGTAGAGACTCAAGCTCAAACTCAAATAAGGCAACGCACAGCGCGGTTTTCAAATTAAAATAATCAAAAATAAAGTATATAAAAAGAATAAACAAGCGCACAATGATCATCATGATCGTCATTATCATCGCGATCATCACGATCATCGTCATAAAAAAAAAAAAAAACTGAAATAAAATTAAAATGCAAAACGAGTCGACGTTTCGGCCAGGAACAGAAGGTGCGCAGCGCAAAGTAGCAGCAGCAGCAGAGGAGGATGACGAAGCAGAGGCAGGGGCAGAGGCAGAGGTAGTGGAGAACAGCCACAAACAGAAGCGAAACAAAAACCTTTTTTTCTGCTATCAATATGTGCTGCATTCTTTTAACCTTTGTCTTTGGTGCCTCGCTCTTTGGCACCCAGTATTTCTTTTGGTTTATTTCATTTACCTTCTTTTTTTTAAAGCTTTTTGCTCGAAACCTTTGACGCGAACTTTTGCCCTGCAAATGGCCATGGAATGTTGACTTGTCTGGCAGCGAGACTTGAGAACCGACGAACTGCAGTCGACAAGAAAGAAAAAATAAGGGAGAAGTGACAGAGAGGAGTGACGAATGCCAAATACACTAACAAATGAAAGAAACCTGACTTGTTTAAGTTTACTTTACAAGTGACTGTTAAATATTGACATTAACTTAAACGAAAATGCAATCGATATAGAAACATTGTTTATTTAATATTGTAATTAAAGCGAATTTTCTTTTAGGAACAAGTGAATAATAATAATGAAAAATAATAAAGAAGCCCATATGGCTTCTATATAATATTTTTCTAATTGGGAACAAATAAGTTTCCAATAAGTCATTTTTACCATCTCTAAATCTAAATTCAAATATCGCTCTCTTTTAATAAGTCAAACTTCATGCACATGCGCATATGCTCGCTCTTTACCTCTCTCTCTTTGGCAAGAGCATTAAAAGCGCAAGCTGAGCTGTTGTTGTTGTTGCGTTTTTTATATGCCGATGGCGTGCAGTTGTCGATGACGAGCAGCGAAGACTGCGCAGTCGCAGCCGCCGCCAGTGCTGCCATTGCCGTCTCCTTCACCTTATGCGTCCTCGCGATTATTATGTCTGCTCAACTTTGCACTCGGCAGCAGCAGCAGCAGCGGCGGCAGCAAAATCAACCACAGCAGCAGCAGCAGCGGCAGCGGTGGCAGCGACGCCAGCAGCTAAACGACTTGAGACACGCACACTTGTTGCTCTTTGGCTCTTGCGCTCTTTGGCTTCTCGCATGCACTTATTTATTGTTTGTTGTATTTATGATTTGCGATTTTACTGCCCGTCTAGTGCGCGTCGCCGCTCCCCCCTCTACCAGTCTCGCATGCTCTTTGTGTGCAGCCTATCGATGGCCGCACGGTAGCCGCCGCAGGGCGCAATTACGCCACTTGTTGGAATTTCACTCGACTCTTGGGCACTCTATCTCTGTCACTCTCTCTCTCCCCCCTCTCTGTCAGTGTATCTGTCTCTGTCTTTACCCCTCGGTAACCCTTTTGCGATTTTAATTCATTTGTGTTTTGTTTCAGCTGCGCGCCCAGAATCGCAAATGAGCAAAACGTGTAAATTATACGCGTCGCGGTCACAGCCAACGCGAACAGCGACGTTGGCTGCGACGCGTCGCCTACATTACTTTTGCCTGTGCGCCTTTTGCTTTGCTTTGCTSTGCCTGGCTTTGCGTTGCTTTTGTTGGTGCCTCAGCTCTCTTGAGCATTATTGTCACCCAGCAACGTCGACGCCCGCGCCATTTGCGCTGCTCTCAGCTCAGCTCGGTTTTTGGGAGTGGACGTCGCGACGTTTATTCATCAGTCACATCAATAATAGTGGCAACATCGACTGAGACTTCGACGGCGACGTTGACTCTTTTTAGCAGCGCGTCTTGAGTTATGTTTATTGTTTGTTTTGGCATTCCTGGGCGTTCGCTCTTTTCTCCATTTATTTTGTCAAAGGTTTAGCAGCATCTGTCTTCATAGCGCAGCTGTCGTTGACTTATCCATCATTAGGGTCATGCCTGACAATTGCGCACGCGCAACAAGAAAAGCAACGGCAACGGCAACGGCAACGAAAGCTTGCGCTGAACAAACTTTAGAAAGCTTTCAATTCCAAATCGATTCGTGTCCTAGATGCCGCAAAGCAGGCGTGCTCTTCGAAAGTTAAGAGAGAAAAGTTTGAGAATGTTTGATACCGTTAGAGATGCGCAATCGGCCTTAAATGATATGTGATGCAGCTGACCTTAAATTTGTCATATTCCCAAGAACGATTTTAGTTAGAGATGAGCAAATTCGATGGAATCTTTCAAGTCTTCGCGCTTTTCCCTATATGTATTTAGCATTGGCTTTTTTAATTCGATTCGTCTGATGTATTCTATTTGGTTTCTAGACAAAGTTCAATTCAGTTTAGCTACTTTTAACATTTGCCGCCGTTTTGCTTGAGAGTCAAGAGTTCATGCATTTTAATGACCTTTCGACGTGCGCTCAATTAAACTAATAATTGACATTAATTAATGCTTCGACTCTGCAAAAGGTGACTTCCACAAATGCTTGACGAGGTGCTTCTGATATTTTTCTTTTTCTCTCTTAAAGGTTCTCGATTTTTTTTTTTTTTTTTTTGTAGATATCTCCGGTAGTGAAATACTGTAATGACAAGCAATAAAATAAATCCAATTCAGTATTCTAAGCTAGCCTTTTTTGAAACTCTTCATTTTTTCCCCCAAAAATTTTGGCTGTTTTTGCTACCTTATTTAGCCGTTTTTAAAGTTTTACTAGAAAAACTTGAGATTTCAATAAATTTTCAAAAACGTAAATTGGTTGTGTGTGTAGACATGTCTATGCGTGATACTGTGGTTGCGTTTGTGAAGCTTTTTACATTAACAATTGAACTTGAACTGCTGCCGTTTGTTGAGCATAATAAAAAAAAGTAATATAATTATAAACATAAAACAAGGCGGGTGTAAAGTAATTTGTCTGTGTGTGTGAGTGTAAGTGTCTATGTGTGTGTTAACCATGACTGTAACAAATTCAACGAACGTCATTGAAAAAAAAATAGGTATATGTATATATGTATATCTGTATATTTGTATAGCCGTGTAATTGTCAAGTCCAAGAGCGCGCGAAAAAAACGCTCAATAAAAGCAACAGCAACAACAACAACCACAACAGCAATGCCTAAGTGTTTCTTGTCCATCATGCTTTGGTCTTTTATATACAACAACAGCAACAACAACTTAACTGAAGTTAACGCCACATACCACAAGGTTGAGTTCGCCCTCTATCTCACTCTCCTCCTCACTCACTCTATCTGTCTCTCTCACTCCGAGTTCAATTTGATGGGCATACCTTATACCCTATATAAGCATTATATGCCTTATGCCTTATTCAGATACCWACGCATAGCGGCCCAACAACAACAACAACAACAGCAACATTGACAAACAACAACAACACCAACGAAGAAT